TATCTATATCTATATCTATATCTATATCTATATCTATATCTATATCTATATCTATATCTATATCTATATCTATATCTATATCTATATCTATATCATCTATCTATATATATATCTGTATCTATTTATATATCACTTTTGTTTTAAACGTATTTTCATGACAAAAGGGTCCAGAGGAGAAATAGGTTTAGTAGAAAAAACTAGTAGAAGACTGGTAGTCGAAAAAAAAGCAAAACGGCAGATTTGCCGTGATTTTGTTTTGTTAACAAATGAAATGTGTTATTGATAAAATTGATTCCGTCCAGTTTGGGATGTGAAAACAGCGTTCAGAAAATAACAGAAACAGATATATTTTTCTGTATATAATCACAGTGCATGTCCAATTCTTTTTTTGTTATGTACTTTTTTTTTTACTTTAAAGAAAGGTAATCATATCGCAAGCACAACCATAGATGCCACTATTCCTACACCGAATAACAAATGCTACATAAGAGGAACAAGACACGTCTCATTATGGGCGAGTCAAATATGACTGCTGTGATGTCAAACACTCGGTAACTTAATCAGAATTATATATTATATATATACCACACTTTTTTTAAAGTTACATTTAAGATATTTTAAATGTACAAGTTTGTTGAATAATCAGTTAAGATCAATATATAGTTATTACATATTCTTTTTAGATCTTTTCTGGTGAAGAAGTTTTGGAATAAAACTTCAGCTCGAGTACGATAAATAAATAATGCAAAATCGATTCAGTTTGAATGAATACATCCCAACGTGTTGCATGACAACGCAGGATAATGACCTTTTTCTGGTAAAACACAAATCTAAATACAGGCTACACACCACTGTCTGCAGCATCATGGTGACAGATCGTGTTTGTCAGTAAATCTGCAGCGTTCAGTCAGCACTGCATGCTCACGTGTCTCCAACTCTAACAGTCATGTCTTTAAAATAACAACAGGGCTAATCATGAACACAGTCCAGCTCAGTAAAAGGACTAAATTCCCCTCTTGCAGCAGAAAATGAAGAGGTGTTAAAAAAATTTGATTTAGACTTCAAATGAAAATGGAAGACTGAGACAGCTCTTTGAGAGCAATCACAAGTTCTTTTCGAATTTTACTGTTCAGCATGCATGATTCACACAAACACGTACAGGGTTGCATGCATTTTCGTACCTCCCGCCTGTCCAGTGCTATTAAGTGTGTGATCTGACGTCCCACTGGCTCACAGCAGTTTAGGCTCTGGACTTGAGCAGACAGGCAGGTGAAAAAGGCTGCAGCCAGGACTCTGGGATCCAGGAGAGTGCCCAGATACACTGCACCAGACACCAGCTGTGAGGTTTGTGGCTGAAAAACCAAACACAGTTTGGCTCTCAAGTGCTGAGCTAAGATTAGAAACAGAGGACAAACAAATCCAACAAATCCATGGTTGTGTATCTCTTGCTCACACAAATCTCAATTTCACAAGAGGCTCTGGACACATTTTGCCAATACACAAACAAGCAAGGTAATGACTCATCCTTGTTTAGATAAAGCACTGTTAGATAGATATAACACAAAAATAACAAATTGTTTTTTTTTTTATTATCACAATCTCTTACAGGAACTTTGTGCAGTTTAAATTCATGGTTCAAACAGGGTATTGTCACAAAAAGCTTAGCAAAAACAGTTCTGAAAACCAAAAGTGGACCGCAATATGATGAAACTGCAGTTTAAATTCTTCCAACAACTGAAATATGATTTCAACAGAGTGATGGCTCATTTGCTGATGAGTAAAGTGCACACTCAGCTACCGCCATCCTCGTCTTTCAGTCTCTTGGTTTCTCTTTATAAACTCTCCCAATCCAGTATGGTTTCACCCTTCATGGCCACACATGGGCCTGTGGTCTGCCACCCGCCTCAAGCCTTTTTGGCTGTCTTGTTATTCCCTCCTCCTCACCCTCGACCTCGTGAATGAGTTTACCCTTGTTCCACTGAAGGAGGCGAAGATAAGGTATCTCGGCCTCCATGGCAACGCACGGGGCTCAGAGGCTGCTGTGTTGCCCGTGTGTACAAAAACGCACATGCACACATGCATATTCACATCGAGAGCTCCACTTTTACAACCTGAGGAGGGCTGTGGGGCGGGAGTGGTGGTGGTGGGTTGGTGGCGGTGAGCTTGGGGCTGACACATTTCTGCTAACAATCACATCACACACAGGGTCCCACATTCCAACTTCCTGATCACCCCCAACGCCTCCTCCCTCCAAGCTTCATGGCCCCCCACCTCCCCCCCCACAGGAGCTGACCCAGACTGTATCCAAATCGGTGAGAAAATGTCTAATATTTCAGAAAAATCTATCAGAAAAACACATGGGCACTTTAAGCAAAAATCTGTTCACTCAAACAATGGAGGCAATGAGAGGCTGATCTGCATGAGATGTTGATGAGAGTCCATTAAGTTATCCAGCACATCTGGATTTAGTTCATCTTTACAGCTGAATGTGGGCAGAATCTGAATAATGCTGCATGTCGTGTACTCTGCTGCCCTCTAGTGGTACTCTGAAGACTTCACAAATGACAAGAGAAACCTCCTGATGTGGTTTGATGGAGTAGTTCACAGCACAAAAAAGTCCATGTATGGCTATTATACAGAAATG